AAATTTTTATTGAAATATTATTTTCATCAAATTTAATCTTTAAGTACAAGATTTTTAAAGTAATCGTTATATCAAGCAAATAAGTATTACATATCGTGCCTTCGAATCATTATTTATCCATTTTCCATGCATATCACAAATAAAAGTCTACCCAAAATTTGAAAAAATATATAACACTAATTTTTTCAATATGAAAAGTGTTCAAGCAAACCAATTACTTGTAGTTTAAGTCGCGACTTGTTCCCTTCCATATTAAGTTAGTTTGCGACATTAATGTAAGGCATGCTTGCTATTCTTTGCCCTTAGTTCGCGAAGCCAACGAACCGAAAAATAATATTAAATCGCTCCCGCTCTGAGCCCAAGCTTTTGGTATGTTTCGTCTTGGATTTCGGTTGAACTATTCGTGGGACGCTCTTTTAACGAACGTTCTTTAGGGAGGGAGCGTTCGCACAATTAGACTCAGTAAGTATGCAAATAACTGAATGCAATGCACACACACTGTTGTACGTAGCAAGCAAAGCACTCATATACATACCAATACAAACAGTTTGTTGATACATTCGACTCAACCAAACGATCGGGAAACAACTAGAGCATAAGCAAGGCAACAAGAAAACGGTTTCTAGCCAATGAGGAACGAACTCGTCGGAAGACCGATGCTCTCTGAGTTCTTTGTCGTAGTGTTAGTAAAATAGATTTATGCACTATGAATTGTATGAATGAATTGTAATACTCAATACATGTATAAAGCTTTAAGAGTCGAATTTCGGTCAAGTAAAGTAGAGGTTTTAAGTCAACTAAAATTAGGATCACTTAAAAACAGCAAACTACATATTTCTATTTCTATTATCAACACGATTGCAAACAAAATTCCTAAAATGTCCTCAAACAAAAATTAAAAATAACATTTCATTCACAAATTTAAATATGTAAATAATATTCTTATGTGTTTGGCTGTCCGTCTGTTTGAACGCGTCGATCTCTGAAGATATAAGACCTAGTGCTTAAGTTAGTTTTAATTTTAAGTCAATTCTAATCTATAATAATTAATCAAATAAAGAATTACTAATCGGCTGGTAAATAAAATGTTTTATACCTATTGCACAGTCGACTATTTTTTTTTTAATATTTCCAGTAGAGTGTTTTCTTATAAGCTTTATAATTTGCTTTGCTATTTTCTGACTCTATACTCTGATCAACAACCGTTAGCCACTGTGCAACGCGTGGCAACCATTTTGGACTTCCGGCTTCAACGTTTGGCCTGGATGCCAAATAAAATGTAACGCCCGCAAAATGATTTGCACTTTTTGTGGTGTTTTTTCTTTCAGTGTGTTGTTGTTTTTGTTTAAGTTTTTTCTTTGTTGATTTTTTTCTGTGTTTTTTTTTTTGTTTGTATTTTTATTTTATTTTATTTGTTGTTTGCCAGCTACGCTTGTGACTACGAACTACGGACTACGACGATTCCGGATTGCGCCTTTGTTTGTCTCTCAATCGCACGCTTCTTGATTGCTTTCCTAGTTTCGGATCCTTGTTGTTGTCTCTGCTGTTGCTGCTGTTGTTGTTGTGGTTGTTGTTGTTGTTGTTGTAGTCCAGCTTCTTCTTCGTCGGCTTCCTGATGTTCCCTGTCGCCGCATTTGGCGCCCCCAGTCAATGCTGATGATGCCATTTAGATGCATATCAAAGTGTTTCACTTTTGGCCAATCCTTTCGCCATTTTTGCATATGTATGAATGTATTGTACACATTTATTTATTTATATTTTGTTTCTGTTTCTGTTTCTGTGTTTGCCATTTTCTATTCTCTATTTCCTTATTTTTTGTTTTTTTAAGGATTCCACTCCAGGCTTCTTCGATTGTAGTTTATGGCTTCTGACCTACCCTGCACCACCAACCCCTCCCCCGTCAGCTGCCATGCTGGAAGTAAATCTTAGGGTCCTCTGGCCTGTTGTTGCTCGTGCCAGAGCCGGAAAGTTTGGCTTGCTCGTCAGCCTGTGGCAGCTGGCACCAATCGAAAGTTTCGTCCTGGTATTATGATTATTTAAGGCATTTCGCTTGCCAGATATTGTATAGATAATATTTCTATTGGCCTTGTTAAAGTGCTTTTTGATGCGATTTGTCGTCAAAGCTAAGCATACGCGCATTACCCTCAAGCTTTACGACATCAACTCGAAATGATATGTATCTAATCTATTATCTAATCCATTGTCAAACAATGCTAGTATATTGATTGGCAATGTGAAAGTTGAGCAAGATTTCTTAAAGAGAAACATTTTTGCTCATAGAATTAATTTAAATCAACTTTTAATATAGATCTCGAATTGAGGAACATAAAAAATATTATTAAATATGTCTATATTTATAGCTATAAAGATTTTTCATATATTTTTTTTATAGG